ACTCGGCGCGAACAAAATGAGGTGAAAAATCCGCCGTCGGGAGCGCCGCGCCGGGAGGCGGGGAGAGGGGGAGCGGGGGGTTCGCCCCCCGCCGTGCTCTTCCTCAGCGCCGGCCACCAAAGCGTAAGAGCTTTGGCTGTAACGGGGGGCGGGGGGTGTGTGTGTACCAAACAAAAAACGCACCCCCAAAACCCCAAACTCAAGGGTATTTAGATACGCTAAAATATTTTAAAATTAAAATTAATTATTAATAATAATAAAAATTAAATTCTGCAGTAGGGAACTGGCTAGGTGTCTCTCACTGCTATTTCTCAAGTCTCAGGAACAGGAAAAAAGCCAAAGTATCCTTACAGTTAAAAAGAAGGGACTGACGGACCTCAGCAATCCCGTTCGGTCAGCCTGATTTCAGCGACTAGAGGCCGGTAACCAAAACAACCCATCTAACCTGCGAGTGGTTGTATGGTTAAAAGGCCATAAATCCACGCTAGCCGATACTTAAGCATAAATTACAGTAGATCGATCAAATCTTTTCTCTGCCAGGAGCAACCGCCTCAGCAGATAGCTGAGAAATGCTCAAGACAAGGTTCTTGTGTTTGTCGTCAACTTTAGAAAGTCTCTGCCTCTCTCTCTGACTGTATCTTTCAGTGGCAGCCAAGGGAAACGAGGTCTTCGGGGTGGCCGTCCCTAGTTTGTAAGTGGGTGTAGAAGTAGCTGAGAAGGCATACTTCAAAGTACCTGTAACTGGCTCCCCTGTGCTAGTGGAAGAAGGTTTGAAGCCCGGTTCTGCAGGGCCTGCTGGAGCTAAATACTTTCAGCAACGTCTCCAAGACCAGCGTAAATTTTGCCAGAGCAGGAGGAGCTGCAAACACGTCTGAGAAATCAAAGTGATCCTGGCAAGTTGAGGAAATTACGTAAAATAAACAGTAGGTAATTCAGTTAAGGCAAAGGCACTTAAGGAGGAATAACCATCTGTACAAATGTATAACCCTGCGTTGCCAGTGCTTTAATAGCTCTGCAGGAAGGGCTCTGGGTGTTAAAGTGGGTCAAAAACGAATTAACGCTGGTGTTCATGGCAATGGAAGCATAAAAACAAACAATTACACTGTTTGTGTAATTGATGCCTAAAGTCATACGTGTTAAACCTGCCGTATCACAGGAGTCAGGAGATCTTAAGCCTAGCCAGAAAGCAAACAAACATTGTTTCATCTCCATGGATGTGAAGTGAACCTTTTGCTTTCCTCAGGTCTGGAAGGGCCTCAGCTGAATTCAGCGTCAAGGTTTCTGTCCCACGCCGCAGGAAAGAGGGAGCCACTGGGACACAGTCTGCCGGAGAGCAAGAAAAGGGACCAGAGTTTTAGAAAACTTTATGATCTGTAGGAAAAAGACCAGGAGACTTGGGTTTGTGTAGAAAAGACTGAGCAAAGGCAGGGCAGCAGTTCGCAGAGGTAAAAAGTTGCAGTGAAGATACTTTGCACGTGCACGGTGAGCAGGGTAAGTTGTAAGCACCTTTGATTGAAACCAGGCTATATCCTGGGAGAGGCCTTTGTAGCCGTAAGGACTGGACCGTATGGCACTGGAGCAGCTTCACTCACGAAATCGAGAGCCTCCCATCACTGGAGTGGTAACGGGTTTGTAGGCCCTCTTCCGTGATTTTGGGAACGGGTTAGATAAACCTGCGTCAGGCCTGGTGTAATTGATTTGGAAGGGTCTAAGCCTCCCTCTCCCCTCCTGCCCTAATCTCTCCTCGTTCGTGATTCTGCACGCCTCTCCCATCGCAGGGCTGCTCGTACCCCTTTCCCCGCCGCACTCCCTTTTCCTCTACCGCGTCAAGCCCCTCCAGCCTCGGTGCTGTTTCCGACACCTGCTTTTGCAACCACTCGCCGTCCCCAGTTTCTCTCCCAGCTCTCCCCAAACCTGTAGCCCTTTGCTCCGAAGCAGACGGGACATTGCACGCCTGCTGCCTGCAGCCGGCAGCACCCTTCCCGAGGACCGCCGGCGCGCCC